AGCCGGCCGCGAGGCACCGGCCAGTGTTGGCACACTCTTGGCAGGCAGAGAGAGTCGGTGTCGGTGTCGGTGTCGTCGTGTTCGCAGCCGCGCTGCAAACTGTGGCGAGAAGCAGCAGCAGTAGGAGGAGTTGTTGCGTTGTCATGGATGCGATTTGAAAAGTGAGCGTGATGGTTTTGCTACGGGACTGCAACATACCCGCCCATCATTCCTCGGCATCCGTCTGATTCAGCTGAACGACAACTAAATCGGAAAATAACTCAGTTCAACAACAAAAGAAAATAACTCAGTTCAACAACAACTAAATCGGAAATATGGGGCGTTGCTTGCTCGAGAATCATGTCTCATTGCGGGAGCGACTCACCGCGCGCACCATCATTGTGCCGGACGACACCCCCACGTGCAGACACTGTACAGCCGCATGATCTACTAAGTAGGGACCAAGGTGCATGTTTGAAAAATCCGCTGACGCTGTAACCAGAGGCGCGCGACATGTTTTTGTACTTGCCGGAAGGACACGGTCTTCGTATGTTGACAGCACACGAGTGTTGCGGTTACCGTGTCACGACGACAATCTAGCAATCCCTGAGGACTCAGGCACGAACAGTGTTGACGCCTTGAAGCCCAGGATGACGATGTACAATATGACATTTTTCTCCTATGGACTATCGCTACTAGATCTGGCAATTGGGCACTGCCTCACGATGTATGATACGACTGTCGTGGGTATCTGCTGCTGGATCCTCGAGCCACCGGTATTACAGTGCCATTATTCCACATCAATCGACCGCGTCAACGACGAGCTCGTACACTAGAGTACAGGACTAGAAGAACCAGAGTCCAAAATACAGTCTGCGATTTGTGTCAAAACCACGTTGCCCTTAAATACAGAAGTCAAATCGCCCGTTCTTACTTTGAGGCGCCAGCATACACAGGCGTCGCTTGGGCAACGTACAAGGCAGTGGGCGCGGGGATCTCAGAGACAATCACGGCTTGTGGCATCGCGGCCTCGGCCCGCTCTTGTTCGTCGCGTTCGCGCTGCCGCTTCGCTCGCTCGCGTTGCTTGGCGACCTTGCGCTGCCGACGCTCCGCGCAACACTGGCTGCACGAGTCGATCCAGCCCAAGCAGACAGCGCAAAGAGCAAAGAGGAAGAATGGACCAACCGTCGACGCGACGACAATGACCCATGTGTAGTCGTACGAGGCCTTCTCCGGGGGCGCCGTCTTGACGCCGGCGCAGTCACACACGGCGCCTTGGCTCGGCGTCGGGCAAATCTGCGCGACCGAGCAGCAGCAAGCTTGGGATGTCAGCGCCGCCTTGTCGAGGAGGACGCCGCAGTACTTGCCGGCATCGCCGTTGGGACCCGCGTTGAGGCACCGACCCGTGGAGGCGCACACTTGGCAAGCCGATGCAATGGGCGCTGTGGTCGAGACGCTGGTAGCATCCACAGCCGTGAGGAGAAGGAGTGCAAGCAGTATTAGCAGTGAACGCATTCTGGCGTGAATTGAAAAGTGTCATGTTCGGGAGCGTTCGACGATGACAACGTAGCAGACCATCATTCCTCGGTTGCGATTCGGCCGACCATCTGGCAACACATCAAACCAGCCTGTGTGGCTACGGGTACTAGTACTCACTCGAGAAGAGATGACACGCTTCGATGTGCAATGGCGTCATTAATCACCAGCGATACTATCAGCGCTGATGCTCGCGGTCAAGGCAGCTACAATCACATGACTGCATGTCCGCCGCTTGGCTCGTCGCGCCGTCGTGCCATCGTTCGACGCGTCGCTCAAGGCTCTACGAGACGACCCTTGGGGTCGGGTACCTGTTCCCTCGCACCACCCCTATTCGCGACCATAAACGCTCCTCGCTAGACGCACGCCCCATGAGCGCAATAGTTGGAAGTCCTCCATATCTTTATAATTGCACGGAATATTCAACAGCAAATAAGTAACGCCGACAGGGACGATCTTGCTGCGTCGCTAAACGGACATCAAGAAAGGCATGACAAAGCTGCCTCTCGTTGGTAGTTGTTTGGATGACCCAAAACAGCCTAGTCCCACGCCGCGCGTCTACCGGTACTGCAAGAGAGCCTCAATAATACGGTACACCGTATTCGGAAATGACCAATTTTGAAAAAAGTCTTACATGCTGGCGCAGTCGAGCGAGAAAACAAGCTCGACGCTATAGAGAGCGTCGCCATTCATTCGGGGAGTACCAATTAGGTGGTGGGTGGAATCCCGCTCGCGCATTGGTCTGAAATCGCTCTAACACTGTCGTTAGCCACCCGCATTTGGCCAAATGCGACACCCGCATTGGTCTTAAAGAAATAATTCGGATCGCGATCTTCGCGCAAGCGTTTTGGCGCTTCTGCACACTGGCACTTGGCGACATAGAGCGCGAGTGAGCTTGCTTTATTGCCGCTCATAGGAAGCCGCGATCCATTAGGGCATGACGGACAGTACATTGTCGCTCTTCAGTGGTCGGTGCCTAGATCGATTCCACGGGTTGATGTCAGCCCTGCCACACGCATCGACCGAGCTACGGCCTCGCAATCCTCGTGATAAAAGAAGCAGTATATGGTGCTCGAGAAAGTCGTCACGATCTATAAGCTACAGTAGGGCTGTGATATCTAGAGACTCTACGAGCCGCCATATCGGATCGTACACAAGGCATTACTATCGAGAAAAGGTACCCCGGTAGCAGCATCATTGCGCAAGCACACATTGCTGGGTATATGTTCTCCACGAGTACTCGAATAAACGCTCGAGTTCAATGCCCAGCTCTCTGGACTCGGCGCCAACGATTCTAATTGGCCAAAACACAGCGTGAGCGAGCCATACTGACCAGTGCGGGTGTTGCGTTCGTGCAGTGCAACACCCGCATTGGCTACAATGGTTTTGCGCTCGTTCATTGGTAGAAATTCGAGGTTATTGGCACGTTTATAAGGTATACAAAACCCAGCATGAAAACAAGAGCATGTTGCACAATTGCCGCGCGCACAGCACCGCTTGCACGAGATCGCCACGTCATATCGAACTTCCTCCTTCTTCTCTTCTCTTGCTTCGATTTAACAGGCACACATGTGTTATAGTCCCACAATTTAACGGGTAGTCGCCGAACGTTTTAGTGTACCGCCATGCAGCCCTAGGATGATGATGCACAATATGACATTTTTCTCCTTCGGAATGTCGCCTAGTGCTGCCGCTGGGAGTTCGGGTCGTTGGGCACTGTGTCATGATGCATGATGGGCTCTCGCTGGTATCTGCAGCTGGGTCCTCCACACACCGCTGTTACTGTCCCCTTCCCATCGATCGACAGCGTCACGACTAGCTCGTGCAGTAGAGCAAGAGAGTCACTATCAACAAAGAAGTTCCCATGGGTGATCTGCCCACGTCGGAACGTGGTCGTTTCTTACACGATCACTATGTTATCCTTAAACACAGCAGTAGCATCGTCCGTTTTTACTTCGAGACGCCAGCATACACAGGCGTCGATTGGGCTACGTACATGGCGGTGGACACGGGGATCTCGGAGACAATCACGGTTTGTGGCATCGCAGCCTCGGCCCGCTCCTGCGCGGCTTGCGCGTCGAGCTCGCGCTGCCGCTTCGCTCGCTCGAGCCGCTTGGCAGCCTTGCGCTCTGTGTACGACTGGTAGGCCGTGCCAATCCAGGCCAAGCAGACGCCGCAAAGATTACAAATGAGAAATGTACCAACACCCGACCCGACGATAGTGACCCACGTGTAGTCGTAAGAGGCCTTCTCCGGGGGCGCCGTCTTGACGCCGGCGCAGTCACACACGGCGCCTTGGCTCGGCGTCGGGCAAATCTGCGCGATCGAGCAGCAGCAAGCTTGGGATGCCAGTGCCGCCTTGTCAAGAAGGACGCCGCAGTACTTGCCGGCATCGCCGTTGGGACCGGCGTTGAGGCACCGACCCGTGGAGGCGCACACTTGGCAAGCCGACGAGACGTTGGTAGCATCCACAGCCGTGAGGAGAAGGAGTGCAAGCAGTAGCAGTTGCCGCATTTCTGGTGTGAACTGAAAAGTGAAAAATTATATTTGGTTCGACGACGACAACGTTGCAGACCATCATTCCTCGGTTGCGATTCGGCCGACCATCTGGCAACACATCAAAACAGCCTGTGTGGCTACTCGAGAAGAGACGACACGCTTCGATGTGCAAAGGCAAACGCCGTCTTTGATCACCAGCGATGCTATCAGTGCTGATGCGTGCGTGCCCGAGGACAGCGCCGACAACTATAATAATTAGCGCTTGCTGCGCTCGCGGTCAAGGAAGCAACTACCCCACGACTGCATCTGGTGCCATCATATGACGCGTCGCTCAATGCTCTCCGAGACGACCCTTGGTGTGCGCGCTACCTGGTCCCTCGCGCCATCCCGAATCACGACCACGAACGCTCCTTGCTTGACGCTGGCCATGCCTCACGAGCGCGTGCGGCCTCCGATCGAACCAGGACGGCAGGACATCTATATTTCAACAACCAATAATTAACGATGACTGGGACGGTCAAGGATGCTTACTTGCTGCGTCGCTGAACGAGCATCGAGAAATGTACGATTCCGTCGCTGCATCTAGTTGGTCGTTGCTTGGATGGCCCAAAACAGCGCATCATGGGGACTACTACTACTAGTAGTAGTCCCCACGGTCCGGCTCGAACCGTGGAGCCGATGGAACAGTGGCTCCAGTAATTTATGATTGGCAACCACCGTAGCATACATACTGCAAGATTAAACGTACCTTTTTTGGTACTAGTAATCATTCTCGAAATGTCGGACGAGGAGGTCGAGATCGTGGAATCGATTGCGATGGACTACCTCTCGATCCCGGCCACGTCGGTGCTGAGCGAGCGAGCCAACTCTGAGGCTAAGCGCGTCTTTGAAGGACGATAAAGCCTCGGCGACAACACGTTCGAAGCGCAAATGTGCACACAGTCGTGGCTGCAGCTTGCGAAGGCGTTGGACTTCCCGCTCTCAACCGACTACTTACAGGCACTCGACGACGTAAAAGCGCGTGTGGACCTCTTGGAGATGGCCAAAGAAGACCCAGTCATCCAGTACTACCTTGATTGCGATTTTAAGAGCGAATAAAGTACCGGGGTCGACTAGCGAATACAAGTTTTGAGTCTCTGAACACGTTCAACTCGGGATCCTTCGGTTCCACGGTTTACCTCGGTTCGGCTCGGTTCGGTCCGGCTCCAGAGGCCACCGGTTTTGGTTCCATTTTGCGAGCCGGCTCCAAACCGAACCGAGCCGAACCGGACCGTGGAGAGTCCTAACTACTAGTACCTCGTAGGATGTGGGTGGAATAGAGACTAGGCATTGGCTATAATTCGGAAATGGAGACCAGGCATTGGTCGATTTTATTTGGTCGAAATTGAAATAATTCAATCTAACACTCGAAGTTCATCGAAGTTCGAAATCAGTATCTTCGTATCTTCGACACGAACCCGCCGACCGTTGCGGCCGTTGCATCGACAGTTGCAAAACTATGGATTGCCGCAGCTCCGCGGCAAGCCGCCGACGATGCATGCACGAGTGAGCGACCTCAATGGCCGGTCGTGCTTGTCTTTTGCCGTGTGCTGTCCAAGCCACACGCGCGCAGCTCGCGCGCACCTGTCGCGTGGCGGCCAAGCGGGCGCAACGAGTGGCATCGTACCAGACGAAATTTCCAACGTCGAGCTCGGAGCTCAATGAGCTACCACGTCTCGATGACCACTACACGACTACGACTCTCGACGACAGCTTGGAGCGACAGTTGCAGCGCGCGATCCCAAGACATGGCAACTCTGCGTGGCGCCACGCCACATTTGTACAATTGCTGTCACATCCCATACATTTCTGGACATAGCAGCCATGCAATGGGAAATAGAGATCGATATTAATTACTGCTAGTGTTGTCTTTGACGAAGGCAGCACCATGCTTGTTGCTTGCGCGTCATCGATTGATCCGCATCAAAGGAGTCTAGGCATTGGCTGCTCTATATTTGGAGAATAGGCATTGGCTCGTCGATTTTTCGAGACCAGGCATTGGCTGATTGCCCGAAAGTTGCCCAAGGTGGGAGGGCATACAAATTGCAAGTGTACCTTTAAGAAATTTTAAAAGGCACACTTGAAATTTGTATACGCGATGAAATGGAGCACCATGGCGATCGCGCCACTGCCAGTGGGACGCCCGCCACAACGAAGGGACATTGATCGCGCCTTTTGAGCGTCGAACTTCCCTCTTCATTTTCCCTTCTCCTCTTCGATTTTAAAAGGTACAAAGTGTTATCTCCCCACATCCTGAAGGGTACTCGCCGGAATCATGACACGGAATGAATCGAAATGTAAGGTTGGGAGTGGTGTGGAATATGCCGAGTCTTTACCGTATTGGCCCGTGGTAAAGTCTCGCGCGGATCTCGGAGGTACACAGTCCCACGCCGTGTGTCTACTTGCAAGTACTCGGACATGACGAACCGTTGGCGCTAACGTCAGGAAAATAACGGACATCCTGGCGCAGTCGAGCGATAATACAAGCTCAACACTATAGAGAGCGTCGTCATTCATTCGACGTTAATTCGGGCGCCAGAATGCTATAGTAAGAACTCAATCCTGAGGTAGTAAGAAGTTATTGGAGCCCGAGGAGAACATACCGGTACGCCCATCCAACTCGGTTCCCGATCCAGTGCCAACCGGATTGTCATCCGGTTCATTATCGGCGGCACGGGTTGGCTTCTTGTCCATCAGGAAAGATAGACCGGAAGCACTTCCTTACGCTTTGCTTTCCCCTTCACCTCTCATCTCCTGTTCTGCTGTCCCGGTTCGATCGGCGGCCCTGTTGCAGACGGGAAGCAGCCCTGTCGTACTTGCAGAGGCGTTTAATCCGATTTAACCCATTTAGCGACCCTGTACAGCGTGTCACATGCTCTATGACCAACACTCCACCACAACCAAACACACAAAGCCAGCTTGCACTTCAGATTTTGGCGGCCACCATCAGGGGTACATAATAGGGGGTGCTTCACGCTACAAATTTCAAGATATTTTTATTCAAAAGCGTCGAACCGTGTTGCTGGTTGAAACTGCCCGATTTGGCTGGGAGCCGAGGAGGAAGCTCGCAGGAACTCGCGTTGGGCCGAACAAACACTATTTGACGAGTAAACGATAACATTGAGTAGTGTGATATATGCAACGATGAAGCATGCCAGGAAGCATGCAGGATGATAGATTAGGATATATAACGTCGATGGGTAGGACGTGCTAGGCTGCTGCGGGCAAATCCAGCTTGCGTCGGACCTCGAGCTTCTTGACGCGCTTCGGCTTGGGCTCCTTGGGCTTTTCTGTTGTGTCGCGGGTGCGCTTCTTCCCACCTGCAGCGCTTGCACACTCCACCCGCGCGCAGCGCCTGGGGTCCACGCACGCGCGCCACTGCATTACAGGCGCTGCATCGTGGTGATGGCTTGCCCATCGCGGCTCACGCTTTGCCGCCGTTTCTTGTAGTCGCGATCTTCGATCGGTGTCGATCTGGCAATAAAATTTGAGACGGATATGATAATTGACCGACTTTGGACCATGCTCGAAGGTGGTCGTGAGGTACCTCGCCAGACCGAGCCATAAAATTCCTTCCGACTGTACACTCTCATTGATCCAATGTACGCCGTGTCAAAATTCCGTCCCCTAGCCGCCCTTAGCCGCTCGCCAACTCGATGCCTAAAGATGCTCACTCAGAATCTTGTTCAATAGGCAACGTTTCCTTGAATAACTCCTAGACCACTGCTCATAAAAAGATCGCAATACGTTAGCCCGTAGAGACGATCATGACGCGTCGAATGGTACCATTTGTTCCCGGCAGCAATGCTTCCTGCGTCTGCTAGCGCCATGGAACTGGCTGTGGCCGCGAAGATCGCTGCTCTTTATACAATGTCGAAAGTCATTATATTTTGAGAAAAGTCGTTTTTTATTATAAAAATGCTTACTCAGGCCCTCGTCACCGTTTCCGGTCCTGACCCTGTTTCGGCCAGGTTTAAAAATAGGCCCACCGTGAAGCACCCCCTATTATGTACCCCTGGCCACCATGCAGCGCCTCCTAGTACGCCCGACCTCGCGCATCTTGCGGCATCGCCGCTTCCCGCAGCCGCTTGGCGTGCGTCGGTTCATGTCCCGGCACACGGACCCGACCCGGAGTACGACCCGGCGTCCTTGATGGGCATGGCCGCCGTCGGTGCCGCTGTCTGCGGCATCATCTACTACTACAACACCAAAGAG